TCATCATGCATACTCTAGAGTGTTAAAGAAAAGCGTGAATATCTGAGTATGCTAATCCTTGCATAGATATTCATATGTTCCTGACATGTTCAGTGTTTAATATAGCATATTTCACGAAATCATAACAATGATACAGTAACTTAATATCCAGAAGACTCCGTTAAAACGTCTGTCTTTGCACATAGCACATTCAAAGTTCTCCATTTATCCTACCCAATTTAACATTTTTTCCAACATCATCTAAATACTTAAGTAGGATCCTTGGCTTTTGCGAGTCTATAATATTTGGCAAGTCTAGATTACATCAGGGAAATGAAGACAGTCTAGTCTCTGGGCTTCTGTTTATTATATTTTATAAATATAATTTAAAAAAACCACTTTGTGTTTTTGCTGTAAAACAGTACATTTCAGAGACTGGATGTTAGCCTACTTCTACAGCACTCAAAGTCAACATGGAAATTGCCTGTGCAAACAGACGCTGATATGTTGGCATTCTACTGTCAGGGGGAATGGCAAACGCCACTGTGTATGTGTTGTTGAACCAGTCCTTGCTGGAAGAATATACGACTAAGAATATATATATCAATTTGTATTCCCTACATCTTGGTAAATTCACACAAGGAATTAACCACATGACAATAATGAGTATCTGACATTGGACACCCAATTCGTTTTACCATTGTCATCAAGAGCTAGCAGTTGGTGAAGATATCTTTGCGATCCCTTCTTCTGTAATTTTAACCAATATTTTGTCATTCAAAATTGACATAATACATGAATAGGATAGCTTGTTGTTTCACCTGAAATAGCTTTATTGGAAGCATATTTTCCAAACATTAAAAAGCGTTTTTAAAGTAAGAAGAATGTACTTTTTCAATAGCGTCCCATATTTCTGCTCCGTATAACAATATTGACGCAATTTTTACGTCAAATATAGCACAAGCTGTAGAAAAAGATAAATAGGATGTATAAAAAGGATGTATATTTTGCTTTTAAAATGATAAATAGGTATAATTGCTTTTGACGAGCTCATTAATGAAAAAAACCAAAGCTGGACTTAATATACATCCCTGGCGTACACGACTAAATAATAAGCTCTGTGTTCTACCTGATTGTGTTTTACCGATAAATACATATTTTTTTTAGAACTAGAAACAATTTATCATGCCATACTCTGGTAAGAAGTAAGTAAAACATGTTTTCTTTATCTACAAAATCGATCTACAAATGCACTATAAAAGCGGCCCCCTAGGTTTACATACGTATTTGGAATATAAAGCTTGCAATATAAATAAATTACCATCCGTTAAATAGATTTACCAGCTGTCAGAGCTTGTAATGCACACCTCTTTCTCTGATAGTTCCCTGTAAATGGTAACTCGTTACAATCTTCACATGAATGGGAATTTACAAGCTGCGTTACATAACAATCAAATGGTTAGGCTTCCAAGTTATTAAATTGGGGGTTAAGCAGATCTTTAAACTAAGTGCACTAGATATCTGGTGACAAGGAGTAACTAGAAGTATTACCTTGTATCGCCTTTTTTAATGTTTACAGTCTCCATGTTTAGCTGCCACCTATATATCATCACACAGTTTAGCATCGTATGCATTCTTCGTTTTGTACAGCTCTTCTTGTGCTCAGATTTCGCATTAAAATAAAGGAGTAGCTTGACATCACATGTATATTTCCTATAGGTGTTCTGCAACCTATACTTTATAGACATTAGATTAGAACAGTCTATATCAATCCAGGGCGGTTGTTACTTATCATGCTTTGTAGCTACTGTAACATTTGCTCCGGCATTTAATAAAATATCACTACATGTTCCTACAACAACATCAATATTATCTACTAATAATATCGAAAATTCATTGAATATTTCCTTACTAGGATGCTGCAAAAATAGCATAGATACGAAGTGATCTTATCTTCAGGGAGTCTGTATCTAACTGTAGGATTTATTAACAAATGAGTAGTTTCAGGCTTCTTATTGGGTTGACAGGCTGAAGGCAGGATGTTCTTCAGAGTACATAGGATTGGCAAATGGTCTGACTCAGTTTGCTGAAGAACCGACATGTCTATTACATTTGTAAAAATATGAGTAGATAAAATAGTCAACAACGCTGCATCCAGAATACGATACACAAGTCAAACTGCCTATAATGTCTGATTTAAATCTTCTATTAACGATGTGGATGCCAAGTATCTTACACATATCTAGTAAATCTAAGCCATTGTTGTTTATGACTTTATCTAAAGATAGTCGAGGACAAGAGAAGTTATCGGTTGTATGGTCCTTCTCAAGAGGTAAATAATCGCAAAGGAGAATTTATTATATAATGTACCTGATTTCTAGTCCTGGCATCGAAATCTCCACATAAAATAAATTCGCATGAATCGCCATAATCAAGGAGAATGTTTATAAGTTTCCACTCCCTTCTCTGTTAACATATGCTGGTGAACCCTCAGTGTTGATGTAAACAAACATAAGGAACATATGTAAGGGGGACAACTTATTTTTCACCCTGAAATTTAGAGCATTATCGGGCCATCTCTCAAGAAAGTGCGATATACTATGTTTAATACATACTATATTCCTCCTGAAAACCTTCCACGGGATTTATAACGTTTTGGGTTGCAACTAAAGATATCATAGTCGTTAAATAGAGTTTAAAAATACAATGCGCATTAAAACACATTGTCTCTATTAAACAGAAAATGTCCTGACAGCAAAATACGAATACTATTTTTTTTATATCAGGCTTTTAATATTCCATGAGCTTATGGTGGTTTTAAAGTATTTTATAACTAATGAACTGTTGTCACTCATACTATAAGTTATATTTTTGTTAGTGAGGGATTAAGAAGAGCCTTGACGAGCTAAAGACACAGTGTTTTACAATTTTATCCGTTGGTTTTAAGAGGCCGATAAACCTATCCAGTACATAACAGAAAATATTTAACGTTTCCACATGAGTAATAAAATAACTAAAAAATGAACAAAATATGCTCAGGTATCAATGACAATATAAAAACTAGCTCCAGAATATAACTACTGAATGATCAATTGTGTTAAACGTAAACATTGTCAGGATGAAAAGTTGATGTTTTGAAATAAGTTGGAGAGATGTTAAAAGTTGCTTTTAACCTTGTCTTATCAACGATGGTTCTTGAAATAGTCCATAGAGCAAAGTGAAGCCATCGTGTGTTTCAGCCAAAGGCGTAATCAACATTAATCAACACTGTATGTGAATGTCAAACAAATAGCACATGTCAGAGCAAATAAATGTTGTATGCTGTAACAGCATATCTTTGAAAACAATCACTTTTGCCTGAAACAGAGTCCATTCATAATTCATAGAAGTATAGAAAGCAATTGTATGTAAACACTGGAGAGATAAAGCGTGGTGCCAGGGGACGTTCTGCGTCGAACTGTATCAGCCAGCCAATCAGCGCAAGAACTACTTTTTTTCTTTTGCAAAAAGACATGCGTCAATATATCTTCAACCCATAGGACCGGGATCATGGGTATGAGAGCTTGGGACCGGGAGCATGGGTGATGAGAGCATGGGGTCGAGAGAGAGGGGGTTGGAGCAGGGGACTGGGAGCATGGGGATGAGAGCTTGGGACCGGGAGCATTGGGGATGAGAGCTTGGGGCCGAAAGCATGGGGATGGGAGCTTGGGACCGAGAGCATGGAGATGAGATCTTGGGACCGAGAGCATGGAGATGAGATCTTGGGACCGGGAGCATGGGTGATGAGAGCAATAGGTCGAGAGAGAGGGGCTTGGAGCAGGGGACTGGGAGCATTGGGGATGAGAGCTTGGGACCGGGAGCATTAGGATGAGAGCTTGGGGCCGAGAGCTTGGGGATGAGAGCTTGGGACCGAGAGCATGGGGATGAGAGCTTGGGACCGGGAGCATGGGGATGAGAGCTTGGGACCGGGAGCATCGGGATGAGAGCTTGGGACCGGGAGCATGGGTGATGAGAGCATGGGGTCGAGAGAAAGGGGGTTTGAGCAGGGGACTGGGAGCATTGGGGATGAGAGCTTGGGACCGGGAGCATTAGGATGAGAGCTTGGGGCCGAGAGCATGGGGATGAGAGCTTGGGACCGAGAGCACGGGGATGAGAGCTTGGGACCGGGAGCATGGGGATGAGAGCTTGGGACCGGGAGCATCGGGATGAGAGCTTGGGACCGGGAGCATGGGTGATGAGAGCATGGGGTCGAGAGAAAGGGGGTTTGAGCAGGGGACTGAGAGCATGGGGATGAGAGCGTGGGACCGAAAGCATCGGGATGAGAGCTTGGGACCGGGAGCATGGGTGATGAGAGCATGGGGTCGAGAGAAAGGGGGTTTGAGCAGGGGACTGGGAGCATTGGGGATGAGAGCTTGGGACCGGGAGCATTAGGATGAGAGCTTTTGGCCGAGAGCATGGGGATGAGAGCTTGGGACCGAGAGCACGGGGATGAGAGCTTGGGACCGGGAGCATGGGGATGAGAGCTTGGGACCGGGAGCATCGGGATGAGAGCTTGGGACCGGGAGCATGGGTGATGAGAGCATGGGGTCGAGAGAAAGGGGATTTGAGCAGGGGACTGAGAGCATGGGGATGAGAGCTTGGGACCGAAAGCATGGGGATGAGAGCTTGCGGCCGGGAGCATGGGATGAGAGCTTGACACCGAGAATATTGGGATGTGAGCTTGGGACCGGGAGCATGGGTGATGAGAACATGGGGTCGAGAGAGAGGGGGTTTGAGCAGGGGACTGAGAGCATGGGGATGAGAGCGTGGGACCGAAAGCATGGGGATGAGAGCTTGCGGCCGGGAGCATGGGATGAGAGCTTGACACCGAGAACATGGGGATGAGAGCTTGGGACCGGGAGCATGGGGATGAGAGCTTGACACCGAGAACATGGGGATGAGAGCTTGGGACCGGGAGCATGTGGATGAGAGCTTGGGACCGGGAGCATGGGGATGAGAGCTTGACACCGAGAACATGGGGATTAGAGCTTGGGACCGGGAGCATGGGGATGAGAGCTTGGGACCGGGAGCATGGGGATGAGAGCTTGGGACCGAGAGCATGGGGATGAGAGCTGGCGGCTGGAAGCATGGGGTGAGAGCTTGACACCGAGAACATTGGGATGAGAGCTTGGGACCGGGTGAATGGGGATGAGAGCTTGGGACTGAGAACATGGGGATGAGAGCTTGGGACCCAGAGCATCGGGATGAGAGCTTGCGGCCGGGAGCATGGGATGAGAGCTTGACACCGAGAACATGGGGATGAGAGCTTGGGACCGGGAGCAGGAGACTCGAAAAGGGAAGGTGGGAACAAGGGACTGGGAACAGGGGCCTGGGTGCAGGAGACTGGGGACAGGGCGATGGGAACAGGGGACTGGAAATAGGTGAGTGGGAACAGGGGGCTGGGTGATGAGAGCATGGGGTCGAGAGAGAGGGGGTTGGAGCAGGGGACTGGGAGCATAGGGATCAGAGCGTGGGACCGAATGCATGGGGATGAGAGCTTGGGACCGAGAGCATCGGGATGAGAGCTGGCGGCTGGGAGCATGGGATGAGAGCTTGACACCGAGAACATGGGGATGAGAGCTTGGGACCGGGAGCATTGGGATGAGAGCTTGGGACCGAGAGCATCGGGATGAGAGCTGGCGGCTGGGAGCATGGGATGAGAGCTTGGCACCGAGAACATGGGGATGAGAGCTTGGGACCGGGAGAATGGGGATGAGAGCTTGGGACTGAGAACATGGGGATGAGAGCTTGGGACCGGGAGCATGGGGATGAGAGCTTGGGACCGAGAGCATCGGGATGAGATCTTGGGACTGAGAGTATGGGGATGAGAGCTTGGGACCGAGAGCATGGGGATGAGAGCTTTGGACAGAAAGCATGGGGATGAGAGCTTGGGTCCGAGAGCATGGGGATGAGAGCTTGGGACCGGGAGCATGGGGGATGAGAGCTTGGGACCTGGAGCATGGGTATGAGAGCTTTGAACAGAAAGCATGGGGATGAGAGCTTGGGACCGAGAGAGGGGGGGGGGGGGGGGGGGGGGGGGGGACTTGGGACCGGGAGCAGGAGACTCGAAAAGGGAAGGTGGGAACAAGGGACTGGGAACAGGGGCCTGGGTGCAGGAGTCTGGGGACAGGGTAGTTGGAAAAGGGGGCTGAGAACAGTGGGTTGGGAACAGGGGGTTTGGGAGCAGGAGACTCTGAACAAGGTGGTGGGAACAGGGGGGCTGAGAACAGTGGGTTGGGAACAGGGGATTGGGAGCATGGGACTGGAAATATGTGAGTGGGAACAGGGGGCTGGGTGCAGGAGACTCGGAACAGGGTGGTGGGAACAGGGGGGCTGGGTGAAGGTGGCTGGGAGCAGTGGGGTCGGAGCAGGTAACTGGGAGCAGAGGACTGGGAGCAGTTGGGTGGGAGCAGGGGGCTGGGAACAGGGGGCTGGGAGCAGGAGACTTGGAGCAGAGGACTGGGAAAAGGGGGCTGGGAACAGTGGAGTGGGTAATGTTCAGTACCGTTCAACTTAGCCTATTTTACCCCGGACAGCCAAATTGGTTGTTTTAGTGCCAACATCTAGAAAGAACCCACATGCCTTATTCTTTACTGTGTCAATACACACTACAGCTGTGGGTGTTATCTTACCGTCGTACAACCCCCTTCTCCTGTCTAACAACTGGCTGTCTAACAAATGGGAGCTAACCACAGATTGCCCTCGGGATTAAGAGTCGTGCACGGAGGGGGCTTATGATTAGAAGGGATACGCCGAATGTTTGCTGTAGGTTATCTCCCATTATCTCCTATCTGTAAATGTCACTTAACACCTCCTTACGTAGCCGGATCTTACGTATGTTCATGTGCGTGGGTCACTGACCTTGCACCACGTGGTATAATTTCTTTACTTACAAATCCTGAGTGACATGGTCAATCTGAGAGACCGACCCAGATCATCGAGAGGAGCGGACGGATTGTGCGCATAATCGTGAGGTCCGTTACGCGCCCGCCGCTTCACCGCAAGGACGACGTCGAATCGCCGTCCGACTTCCTGCCGAAAAGTAGGTGACAGGGCGAGTCTCCGCACCGGGGACATTGGCCACTCTCTCCCAGTGTGCGTGTCACGTGCTTACTACCAACATGTACCTTTTCGACCATTCTTTTCGTGTGCTGGAATAGATTTTACTATTTTGTCTCTCCTCAGGATCACCTAATCCTGAATAGTATATTATAATAACGTCACGTTTAAAACTCGTTTGACATAACTATGCTTAGAAGTGTTTTTGAATGTGATAGTGACTCCAAAAGATGTTACAGATCAATAAGCATACGATTTACTGGGTTGTTCTTTGCTATGACACATGATAAATCAATAACAATAGATGCTGCTTGGGTATTTATTGATTTGTACGTCATTGTCAAGATCACAATGACATTTTAATTTGGTCTGACAAGTGTCGTTGAACAGTAAATGGTTATGAGAGTAAAATGTAAGCTGGTTAAAGTGAATGGATAGGCTTTGCTTGATTTGTACATGTCACCATCATGCATTTTGGGCAATCTTTATCTTAATTATGGGCAGTCGTTGAAGACTGCGTTGAAGAAACGTTGACCAGGTTGGGCTGTGTGTCTTGGTTAGACCCAGGTGTTTGAGTGATGTCCCTAGCTTTTGTGGAGTGCGTGTTATACTTTTATTGATTTATTGGTTGTAAGTATTACGCCATATTGAATAATATGTGAATAGATACAGTATGGCATTTGGAATTTGGAATTTACATCATTGTGTATATATTGTGAATCTGTCTCAGTCTGTACCTCACAAAGTACGACTTATGAGCTCGCTTAAGCGCCAATATATTTATTATTAATGTAATACGTCCTGTCAAATGGTATGTTCACATCACTTTATACGTGTACACTACGACATGTAGTTTCATGTCACTATAACTGTACCTCTTGGCTAGCTACGTCTACCTGCAGTAAGTTGACAAAGGTTATTTGAACAAAATGAGGGTGAGCTCCATTACGTATGTAAACCGGTTCTAGTTTGGTACATATAGGTACTTGAATGGTATCAAAAACTGTAAGTAATGGACCGCCCCGTGGTCTAGTGGTAGAGGGTCCGCCCGGAGAGCGGAAGGTCCTGGGTGCGATCCCCGGCCGCGTCATACAAAAAGACGTTAAATGTCTGGCGCTCGGCATTAAGGTGCTAAAACAAAGACTGGTCGCCTCGGAGTCAGTATACTGTGTCTGAATGGGGTATTCATAATAAACTGCGGCATGGTATCTCAGTGGGCTAGCACTATAAATCGGCTCGTTACAAGACGTGAGGACGTAGCTGGCGGCCAAGGCACTGGGGACGGTTACCATCTAAGAGATATATTTGATATATTGGCATTGTGCTTGAATATTGTCATATAATGTTTATTATGCATGTTTATGATCAGATAGTGAAATAGATCATCAGTGGGAAAGTAGGAGTAAGATAGTAAGATATATTGGAGGAGTGAGATGGTTCAGCAACACTGAGACAGTACAAGAGATATGACGTGTGTATGAGTTGAGTGGGAAGTGTGACAGTGGAGAGTACACGAATGTGGACTATTTTGGATATTGTTGGAATTATAGTATTTGTGTTATGTCTATAAATCAGTAAAATCCCCTGTGTTATGTGGTCATTTCATGTGTGACAGTCAAAACACATTACAGATCAATAACCAAAGATCTTGCTGGGGGTGTTCCTTGTCATGTATGCCGTGACAGATCATCGTCAAGTATTGTTACCCTGGCATACCGCTCGCCGTTACATCGACAACAACGTTTTCTGTCATCTGTGAATTGAAGGTAAAACATTGATTCGTCTGTTAACATGGTGTAACATCACTGGCGCACATCCCGTCCCTGGTGTTGCCTTGTCCACCCCAATCTTTGCCATCTATAGTAAGCTGTTAGGGTCATACTCTTCACAGGAAGCCTTGCTTTCAGGTGGGCTGCACAGAGCCGTTTGTTTTCGATAGATGTTGAAATTCGCTTTCCTGTAGTTATTGTACAGAACTCTCTATTGATAACAGGAGCAGATTTGAATCAATTTCGTAGTACAATTAATGTAATGAGACGAGCTTGTCTAGGTGTCGTTGTTTCAGGCCTGGCAAGCACAGGTTTAAATTTAATTGTGCTTAGATGTTGCGTTCAGATGAGACGACACGGTATTGTTACTATACTCCTCAACAATAGCTGCATTCAAATAATTTTTTCCTTAATCTTTTGTCTGTGGTATTTTTATTTTTCATATCCCCGTGTTTGATAACGCCAGTTCTTGATACCTTTTGAAATTACGAGTCGGGGTGAGGCTTTACACAAGCTAAGGCGGCACAATTGTTAAATAATGACCGTAACATTCTTCAATGTATTACATTTAAACTACAGTCGATATTAACAGGTGTGTACGTCCAAACGGGCCACTAAGATGGTGGAGAGAACAATGTGTATGTGTACGTCCAAACGGGCCACTAGTGTGGTGAAGAGAACCATGTGTATGTGTACGTCCAAACGGGCCACTAGTATGGTGAAGAGAACAATGTGTATGTGTACGTCCAAACGGGCCACTAAGATGATGGAGAGAACAATGTGTATGTGTACGTCCAAACGGGCCACTAAGATGATGGAGAGAACAATGTGTATGTGTACGTCCAAACGGGCCACTAAGATGATGGAGAGAACAATGTGTATGTGTACGTCCAAACGGGCCACTAAGATGATGGAGAGAACAATGTGTATGTGTACGTCCAAACGGGCCACTAAGATGGTGGAGAGAACAATGTGTATGTGTACGTCCAAACGGGCCACTAGTGTGGTGAAGAGAACCATGTGTATGTGTACGTCCAAACGGGCCACTAGTATGGTGAAGAGAACCATGTGTATGTGTACGTCCAAACGGGCCACTATGATGATGGAGAGAACAATGTGTATGTGTACGTCCAAACGGGCCACTAGTGTGGTGAAGAGAACCATGTGTATGTGTACGTCTAAACGGGCCACTAGTATGGTGAAGAGAACAATGTGTATGTGTACGTCCAAACGGGCCACTATGATGATGGAGAGAACAATGTGTATGTGTACGTCCAAACGGGCCACTTTGATGATGGAGAGAACAATGTGTATGTGTACGTCCAAACGGGCCACTTTGATGATGGAGAGAACAATGTGTATGTGTACGTCCAAACGGGCCACTTTGATGATGGAGAGAACAATGTGTATGTGTACGTCCAAACGGGCCACTTTGATGATGGAGAGAACAATGTGTATGTGTACGTCCAAACGGGCCACTTTGATGATGGAGAGAACAATGTGTATGTGTACGTCCAAACGGGCCACTTTGATGATGGAGAGAACAATGTGTATGTGTACGTCCAAACGGGCCACTTTGATGATGGAGAGAACAATGTGTATGTGTACGTCCAAACGGGCCACTTTGATGATGGAGAGAACAATGTGTATGTGTACGTCCAAACGGGCCACTTCGATGATGGAGAGAACAATGTGTATGTGTACGTCCAAACAGGCCACCAGGATGGTGAAGAGGACAGTGTACGTCCAGGTGTACACGGTGTATTCTAACCTCAAGACGGTGTAAGCTAACCTTAATACAGCGAAAAGAGAGCGCAAATATATTATATAACAGTTTTTCATCCATAAACTTAGGCACTACAGTAAACTACGGTTATAACGAACTCGCTTATAACGAACTGACGGTTATAACGAACTTACTTTTTGGTCCCGACTACTTGCTGTAGTCTTGCTTTATATGTACTTATAACGAACTACGGTTATAACGAACTAAAATTAGTAGTCCCTTTCAGTTCGTTATAACCGTAGTTTACTGTATTTAGGGACTGGTCATGTATTATACGGAGGGTGTGGGGTTATGAAAACATGTACGGTAGCCTCAATGCTGTGTATAATTACCTTAACACGGTGTACGGTAGCCTCAATGCTGTGAACAGTTACCTCAACACGGTGTACGGTAGCCTCAATACTGTGTACAGTTACCTCAACACGGTGTACGGTAGCCTCAGTGCTGTGTACAGTTACCTCAACACGGTGTACGGTAGCTGAAATACTGTGTACAGTTACCTCAACATGGTGTACGGTAGCTGAAATACTGTGTACAGTTACCTCAACACGTTGTACGGTAGCTGAAATACTGTGTACAGTTACCTCAACACGGTGTAGGTTGCCTCAATGCTGTGTACATTTACCTCTCCACTGTGTACGGTAGCCACAATACTGTGTACAGTTACCTCAACACAGTGTATGGTAGCTTCAATACTGTGTACAGTTACCTCTACACAGTGTACGGTTGCCTCAATGCTGTGTACAGTTACCTCAACAGGGTGTACGGTTGCCTCAATGCTGTGTACAGTTACCTCAACACAGTGTACGGTAGCCGCAATGCTGCATACAGTTACCACAATACAGTGTACGGTAGCCTCTGTGTACAGTTACCACATCATGGTGTACGTCAACATCAAGACGGTATACGTCAACATCAAGACGGTATGCGACAACATCAAGACGATATACACATCAAGACGGTACACAAAATCAATATGCTATATGGCAACAACAAACAGTATGCGCAAACATCAAGACGGTATACGGCAACATCAAGACAGTGTGCGGCAACATCAAGACGGTATACGTCAACATCAAGACAATATACGTCAACATCAAGACGGTATACGACAACATCAAGACGATATACACATCAAGATGGTATACAAAATCAATATGCTATATGGCAACAACAAACAGTATGCGCAAACATCAAGACGGTATACGGCAACATCAAGACAGTGTGCGGCAACATCAAGACGGTATACGTCAACATCAAGACGGTATACGTCAACATCAAGACGGTATACGACAACATCAAGACGATATACACATCAAGATGGTATACAAAATCAATATGCTATATGGCAACAACAGACAGTATGCGCAAACATCAAGATGCTATACATCAACATCAACATCAAGACGGTATACGTCAACATCAAAACGGTATACGGCAACATCAAGATGGTATACGATAACATCAAGATGGTATACGACAACATCAAGAAGATATACACATCAAGACGGTATACAAAATCAAT